TTGCGCATTGCTATAGGTTACTTATCATTTGCTAACGCAATATTACATTGATTTTGTTTTGCGGCCTTCCAGTGTCATATGCACGATTTGAAACGAATCAATGATTTCATCTGCAAAAACGAAAAAAGTTAGGACCACATATCTACACAAAATGTAATGTCATGCGAGTTTTTTGAATGTTTGTGACGGTAATCTATTAATCTTCGAGTGAAGTTTTGATATTATATAATGCACCGAAGAATGTCTGGTTTACATCAGGAATTTTAAATTCGTGATAATTCGATTTACGTGCAATTTTGCAAACATGTAGCAGATTATCCTAAATTATTCAAGAGTCCTGCTGCACACTAACACGCATATATTTTTGTAGCTCTCCGTCCGACCAAAGTCAGACTTCACTAGACAAACATTTATCAAACTGCGACAAGAAGAGTAATTGCATGCACATTCATAAAATGGATTGATTTGATTTTCAGGTGTATTTTAGGTTATTTATGTTTAACAAAGATTATAAATGTATTAGTTTTTGGATAATATAAGCCTATTTTCCATTGTTTGAACATGTTCACAAGGGGTGTTTCATACCTTTGATGAATGAACGGATGTAAGCAAAATTTACCGAATATATAAATATTTACGAATATATAATTATACAATTGAATCAATTACAATAAGTAATTATTTCTAACCCTTTATGCCCGTAGACAAAACAAATTCGATAACAGTGTCAATAATGTCCATGTTACTAAGCACTTCTTCCAAAGTCATTTCCAATTTAAGTTTTCTGGCTATTGTTCTTGTCGAAATTTTCAACTCAAATTTATATCCATAAAAACTATGGTCGTAATTTCTACAGACACAAGAGGGCCGGATGAAACACTCTGGTGAGCCGGATCCGGCCTGCGGGCCGTAAACTGTCCACTCTTGTTGCAAAGTGAGATGTGATGACTGACTCTAGGAAAATTCGACGCAGAAAATTTCGCCGTAGGAAATTTCGCCGTGGGAAATCTCGCCGCAGGAAGTTTCGCCGCATAGGGAAAACCCCCGCATGAAAAATCGCCGAAAATCATTTTGCTGTAAAACAAGTATTTGTGATAAAACAGTCGAGTTTTTGAAGTATTTTTTTGTTTGAAAAAGATTCGTTATTTAAGAGCATAATCTGACCCTAAACAGCAAAATACTCTTGCAGCGATTTTTCATGCGGCGAAGTTTCCTACGCGACGAGTTTTCCTGTGGCGGATTTTCAGGACACGAGGATAACTGTTAATATCCAAGTATTTTTCCTTTGATATCATACAATCTAAATATCACGTTTTATTCTGAATGACTTAAGGATGAACTATATCAATCTCTTGTTTGCATTTGTTTTTCTTAACAGTAGTAATCTTGACGTGTTCACCGCATAGGCATCATAAATTATTATCATACGATGTATTTTGCCAACCAGCCTACTTGAACCTATAAAACTTATACTCTTGTACTTGCTTGCCACATTTCATCCAATGTTTAAATCCAACAAAAAATAGTTCCGATTAGTTCAAGTCTTGTGGACCACAGCCCGATGCCTAACAAGCTCCAGGTTCTCGGTATTGGCTATCATACAGTCCAAATCTTCTTGTTTGCACTTTTTTATTTTTATTTTTCTTGACAGTAGTAATCTTGACACTTTTACCGCACATATATAATAAATTAATACGTTTGAAATGTGTTTTGCCAACACGCGTACTTGAACATGTAAAACCAATATGGACCGCAGTACACATTTGCATTGCCACATTTCATTCGATGAATCAAATGAAAAATAGTTTAAGTCTTGTGGTGGCGTTGAAAAAAATGTGGTATCATGCTATGTATAAGTTCTTTGCAAACGTGCAGTCTTAGTAATACAAATTGACAGTATATAAAGCATATTCTTTGTGACTTATCCCGTGGTAAACTTACATAATTGACTTATTCCGTGGTAAACTTACATAAATGTGACCAAGTGTAAAATTTTTTTGCCAACAAGCCTACTTGAACCTATGAATTTATATGAATTGCTGTACTCTTGTACTGGTTTGCCACATTTCATCCAATGTTTAAATCCAACGAAAAAACTTGTGGACCGCAGTTCGATGCCTAATAAGTTTCAGATTCGTGGAATTGGCTACAATGCACTCCTATTCCTTTTTGTTTGCACTTTTTTTATTCTTGATAGTAGTAATCCTGACACATCCACCGCACATAGAATACGATCGGAATGTGTTTTCTCAACACGCGTTCTTTGAAACAAAAACCAATATAGATGCAGTACACATTTTCATGCTTGCCACGTTTCATCTCTCAAAAAATGGAAAAGATTTGTGTTACCACGCAATGTATATGTTCTTGATGAACACTAATTCGCTTGTTTGCAATTGTTTATTCAAAAGTAGTAATCTTGACGCGATCGCGGCATTGGCATCAGATATTATAATACGATGTATTTTGTCAACAGGCCGTCTTGAAACTTATATTAACTGTTGTTTTCTTGTACCTGCTTGCCACATTTCATTTAAATAAAAATGTATTATCGAATGGCCATATGAAAGTGTGACCACAAATAATAATGAAATGGCCATGTGGCACTAAAAATTTTGAAAACTGAAAGTGATGGTTTTCATAAGACTTCTTTTATCATAAAGTAATAAAAATTCTATTGGTTGAGAAGTCGCGAGGAAGGGTTTTGCAGCAACAATCACAACAAGCATAACTACAATAATTTTGCATAAGGATACATAACTCCATTTCGTGTCCAATGATATATTAAATATGTGAGCGTGAATTCATGTGGTGATTGCACTGTCATGCTTAATATGGCAGCAAACTATTTATCAGTGGTTTACTCTGTGAATCGTTTTGAGAAAAAATATAAGAGGAAATTTCCTCTCTCCAATCGAATGAACCAATCGAAATAGATGAAAATGCGCCATTATACAGTTTGGATAACTTCAAACGCAGAGTGAGTCTGGAGAGAGATTCTTTTAGATATTGTTAGATGTTAGGATGTTGCTCCAAACTACCTCTTCATTTGTCACGTTGAGTTGTTGTACTTCGGGTCAATTATTACTTATCGATTTTAATTGGTAAGTATGTTGATAGGTATTTGTCTGTTTGTCTGTCTGTTAGATGCACGCGATATCTCACGAAAGCGAGATATAATCTGCTCCAGATTTTGCATGTGCATTCATCATATGTCGTACCAGAAGCCTATTGATTTTGGATGAATTATGTCGTATAATTAGCGAGTTATTTATTAATTAGCGATGGAACACAAGGTGTCACTATGGAGTAAGAGCGCTGTTTTGGGGGATCCCCTAACTTTCGATCGATAAGTCTTCGGTCTCTGACCGATATTCTCGTTCATTTTTTAATCGCATTTCTATGCCTTACTGTACACGACCACTTGCAAGTCCCATTCGTGCTTCTAGATGGGGGCTGGTAAACAGGTGCATACCAAGAGGAGTTCGTATCGGAACCCCCTTTCGGAATGTAAAAAAAAAATTCTGTATCATACATAGTAATTTCCCGTAGCTTTAGAAACAAAAGACTTTTGAAATTCCATGTATCCCGGACCCGCTGGCTGTTACGATCTGACTTGGCAATTAACGAATTTGGAAAATTTTTGTTTACGCCCTGCTAATGATCTTGAAATATATTGCGCCGATTGCGCAATAAAAAACTCAATGAAGTTGTATTCCTCAAATTTGAGTTATAGATATTCAGCAAATTCTCGCTGGTTTTAAGTATGAATGAAGCACTTCTTCAAGCTACCCCCAAACTTGATTGATCGCGTTCGTGATGAAAAGAAAAAGGCGAGGAGTTTTGGTGATTGCTCTGCCGTAGAGATATAAAAGAGAATAAGAGTGTGAGAGAAAAGTAAAGAGTCCTACTAAGGAATAGGAGAGAAAACAAGAAAAACAGCATACGAGAGAAGAGAACAAGCATGTGAAAAAAAGTTCAACACGCAAATAAATTTTAAACTTCAAGCACGGAGATATTTCCTGCCACCGTTTTTCTCGATTCGATAAAATTGGAATTTAAAATAATCATGACAATCATTCATGAGTGCACAACACGAAGACATATTTGTAGCTAAATTGTGTTTGTTGTGGTAACGTCAGACTAACTACTCATCGTTATCATTTACTTTTGGCTTATTGGAATCGTGAAAAATGAATGAAAGTAATAGCCTACTAACGAAAAATACAATCTTCCACCATTGAAAATGGTACTCTCGTAGTCTGTGTACCAGGTTAAGGTTGGGTCATAATTTTTTCCGATTATTCTTATTTTAATTTTAATACGAGTTCGGGGACTGTCTGTGTTAGCCAAGTGAATATACCCCCTGCCCATAAGTTCCAGTCCTTTTACACAACTTGATGTGAAATAGGCGAACAAAATTAGTTACCTCAATATTGATACACACACTTCTATAGCGCCAAGAAAATTATAAAGCAATTGGTCCAGCAGTTAATGATAAAAGCGATTACCCACAGCAAGAGGAAAAAGAAGAATAAATGAAATACTAACATGGTGATCAACAACAGCAAAGTAGCAAAATGATTCATATGCCCAGTTCGTGTTCAATTATCAAGTCAAGTCAAGTTTATTTTTTCCAACCAGTAAAGGACAAAAACGTGCAAAAAATATAAGGAAGAAATGATATTTACATTACTGGCGAAGGGAAGTCGCGGGGAACCAAAACTGGTTATCGAGCAGCAACACCAGGTTCTAACATCTAATTCGACAGATTGGGGAGGAGAGTTTCGACTGATAAATACCATATGAATTTTGAGAATTACCCAATTAATATCAATGGTTATAGGTTATTACTAGAAATTACCGTGCATTAATGTGCCATAATAGCAGCGAATAACTGGGGAATCCCTGTTTGCACTGGAGTAGCTGTAGCGAATGTGTTGTCCTGCAGAATAACTGGGGAATTTTGAAGGTGACCTGGCCATCAGCGTTGTTGTACTGTGAAGTGTTATGCAATGAAGACCGACGAAGAGAATCAGGTACAATAAATAAATAAATACCGCTTATAAATTGACAGAAAACATGAAACGTAATCTACTAAGAACAATATAAATGAATTAATACTGTAATAAGAATACGATGAAAGAACAAGATTGACATCAAAATGTATTAACGAGAATACACTTGACCGGTACAAATTGTTAATTAGTCTTTAGCACAGCGTTTCCCAACCTTTTTTGGTCGCGGACTATTTTCTCACCAGCGAAAACCTTTGCGGACTCAAGATGCGTTTATTGCAACCGTACTCTGTGTGAAGGAGCAATTAAAGCAATTACGTGCTCGTTAAAAGAGCCGACTTTTTTAGTTTATAATGGCCGTTCGGTCGCACAATATTCAATCCATGACATCGACGACAATTTAAAATATCTTTCTATTTAATTTAATTGTGTTCATAGTAACTCACGACGGCGGCGACTTACGACAAGATGAAAGCATTACTTCAGGGGTCGGCAACCCGCGGAGCACTATAATCCGGCCCGCGACGCTTCACTAAATTATAGTAACAAAACATTCGTTTTGACGAGTATATTCTTTAGACTAAATTATATCATAACCTAACAATTATATAATTCACAATTACTCGTTTAATGAGCATATAATTTAATTATAATTAAGCAAATGGCAACAAAACGCAGAAAAGTTGATGCTAAGTGCAAATGGTTTAATGGCGCTGAAAATATTCAAATGGAATTTTATGAGATGCAATGAGGAAATAAATCTATATTCTATTCGAGAGATGTATCACTACTTGATGTTTATTATGAAAAGTACCATCCGTTCGGTTTTTCAACTTTCTAAAAATATGTGCGCGCATCAATGACTTGCAACCTTAAATTTGGTTTGCGAGCGACAAAAGGTTGCCGACTCCTGCATTACTTCTCCAAAATGCCACGGCAATCTGCTAACATAATAATGTGAGAATAATATTGCCCGACTATATTTAGTTTTGATATATATTTTTTGCAATCTTGCGAATTTGTTATCGCCGTTAAAAAAATCCTACTATCTGCTATATAGTTCCAGAAAGTACATTTTGATTTAGCACTACTTAAAAATATATTTAAAGTATATTAGTAAATTAAAAATACAAATTCATCGCCTTGCTTCACTATTAATTTAATTGTGATGATTTTAATCTGCAGTTGTGTTGACGAAATAAAAGCAACGCGTGGTAGTGTCCGATTATATTTTGTTTTGATTCGTATTTTTGTGAATTCGACAAATCTGAGCTGTTCGTACAACACTTATGGCGCTCCAGTACTGTACGTACCAATGTGGAGGCAGTAAAACAAGGAATCCTAAGGGAAAATGCCCTGGTACGTATACTACGGTAGCACCAGTGGTGGGATTCAGCCGTTTCGCTCGGGCTCTATAGAACCGTCTCACGGAATTTTATGAGGTCAGCGAACCGGTTAGCCTTACTAAAAAAAAACATGTAACAGAACCGGACGAAAAATATGACTTTTGTGATGGAACCGCCTGACAATAAATTTGAATTCCACCACTGGGTAGCACCCGAAATTTTGCGATTTGCAATGTCTAAAAAAGCGTTTTTATTCATTCGGTCGCGGACCATCATAAAACAAAACTTATGGTGTTCTCTGTTTTATTTTTAGTATTTTGTATTGTATTTTGTAATTTAGAAAATTTGGATTACCACCATTGACACCTACCAGAAAAAAAATTTATTCCTCGTTGTTCGAACTCGCGAGAAACACCACTAAGGTATCTATCGAAGCGTGTGCAGACTCGTGTTTTCGTCGGAAATCCGCAAGTGAGTTGTGGAATCCAATCGTTTGATCAGGCGACGCCTCACCTGTTACCAAATTTTCGAATAGTAAATTGCTATTCTGATAGTTGAGTATTCGAATATATGTCCAGTCCTACTCATTAGCCAGTAATTATTGTCTCAAATATTGTTATGTGAATAAACTTGCATTTTATGTTTTATGTCAATTCTAACTTAAATCGTAACTTGGCTGATAATTGAGTTTCGCAAAAATGTTTGCAGTCCGCAGTGAATTTCTGGCTCGCTGCGGACTCATTCAAACGCTCCGCGGACTCACTTGAGACCGCGGACTCGGGTCGGGAAACACTGCTTTAGCAGAATGGTCTAGTACAGTGGTTCCCAAAGGGGCAGATTTGCTAAGTGAGCCCGCAAATTTACAGAGTTGTGCTTTAAGTTGCTTTTAGTTGATTAATTTAGTTGATTTTATAATGGAGTCGCAGTCGGGCACTATAATTTTCAGATTTTATCGTAGCAGATCGCGTTTTGAAAGTACATTGAGAGTTTATATGAATATAAATCAATATAAGTCACTTTTATTCATTTTATCGCTGTAAATGCATGTACCAAAGTTTCAAATGCAGTTCAAATTGCGATACTGACTTCAAATATGCTAATATAAGTCTGTAAAGCGGCACACACCGGAAATTATTCGCGTCAATAGCATGTCAAATCTAGCATCGCTTGCTTGGAGAATATTAAATTCACGTTTCCGATTACAGCGTTGGGCCGCAGTAACCGGAATTTGATTCGGTTTGATTCTTCATTGTTGCTCGACCACGCTTATCTATGCTTCGGAAAACAAAGCCAATGTTTTGCATTCGGTGGGGAAAATTAAATTCTTAGGTGACATATGACATTCGATACAATTCTTCTGAAATTTCATATGACATTCGGCGCCATTCTTTCGAAATTTTATATAACATTCGCCGTAATTATCTAAAATTTCACAAACTCAGTGGATCAGTGGTTGTCTGTTTGGCTGTTCCAGTTGTGTTCTAATCTGATTGTTTCTTTATGTGTTTGCCTAGACAACACATAACTCGTGTAAGTCACCTGGGTGTGAAGCGATTTGCGTGAATTAGCTTTGTAAAATATAAAAATGTATACTTTATTAAATGCCATAATAACATGTCCTTTGATATCAATGTCTGATTGTACATGGCGTTCTTCAAAACAAAGGACGTTGTATGGAAAAATTAAAAACCAATATGCCATACCACATGGTAACTTGTCACCAAGAGTTCGATTAAGTATAGGAACTTGGCCATTGGGCTAACGCACCAACAAGAAGATTATAAGCCACTGTGCTATACTTACATATCATAAGTTATCAGTGGCCCCTAAGGGTCTTCTTTGGAGCAAAAGATTCTTCCAAAATATTTAAAAACATATATGCTATATTGTATGGTAACTTGTCACAAAGACTTCAATTGAACCACCAAAGTGTCAAGAAATCGGAATTATTTTTCAAATGAATTCTAAGAAACAATGAAGCGTAATCGTACACCAAAGCGTTGCTATCCCACGCTATAAAGTTCCTGATGCGCAAATGTTTGGGAATAACACGCTAATAAAGGAAGAATGTAGCGCTTTAAACGCTGATTTAAGTCTATATATACCGATTAAAATGAACAGTTTGCAAGGACGTGGAGAATCACGTTTCGTCTTGAATTCTGGAAAATTGAAGTCATCTTTCGACTAAAGTCAACGATGAGAATTCTCCTTTTACTCGGTCTGGCGTTAACTGTTGCAGGTTAGTATCTTTTGTTGCAATTTTATATTTTGTTTGATACTGAGCTTTTCACAATGTTTTTACTATTTGCCTCAAATGAAATGATAATTCCGATTCAATAGATTTAAATAGTTTTATTTCCTTGGTTGAGGCGTTAAATATTTGCTTCTAAATTCCGTTATCAGATCATTTTAACTTAGTTTCTGATAAACTTGATTTGATTTGATTTTTATCTTTAACCTTTTTTTTTTACCAATTGTACATCATTTATGTTAAAATTTCGAAAAAAATTATTCTGAAAATATCACGGAGTGTTCTTTAAGCTAGTAAGCTGATGCGAACAGTTTAAAGTATTTCAATAAAAGCAACTTAGCAATTACAAATTTCAGTTCTCCCTCCCTTGACTATTCCCAGCTATGACTTTTTGAGTTCATTTCATACTTTGTATCACTATAGCTTCATTCACAAGTTAGATTATAGTTTGATTTGCAAAATAAAGCACGAAGTGGGCTCATGAAATGTTTTGCTATATTATGTTGTTGTTGTTGTTGGTGTTTTTCTTCCTGTTATGAAAATATCGCCTTTCTCGTTCACTAATGGACCAATTGCTTTAAAATTTTCAGTGGATGAAGATTGCATTTTTCGCTAGAGGACTTTTATTGGAATTTGTTCCTAAATTTTCTATTAAGCTTATGAGATCTAATATTTCATCCAAGTTTTTGCAATATTTTATTATTTTTCATAAGAACACGGATTTTAATCCGGAAGCAATCTGACAACTTCATTTTTAAGAAAAGTAGCCCATTAACATATCTTTTGCTTCGATTTATTCAGGGAAGGACTGCTTCGAGCCAATGACTGTTTTACCTCATGGTGAGGTGACTTGCACTTCTTACGATGGCGCTGTCGGGTCCTCGTGTGAATTAAGATGCACCGATCCTAAATACGAGATGGTGCGTCCTATGAATTCGATTGTTACATGCTTGCCAACTGGAGAATGGGACAAGAAATTTCCATGCTGTCAAAGTAAGTTTATTTTTCTACACGAGGTAAAGTGTGTAGCCCTATTCCTGATTATGTTGTTCATATTTTTTGCTTTATTACTATCTCGGTAATAACGCGTCCGACATAGAATGTACCGTATTTTATACACCATTGGGCGCACTTTCTCAAAAATCGATCGGTATGGTCGGATAGTGCGTTTAATTGTCTAGACCAGTGGTTCTCAACCTTTTTTTTCTTTTGGCCCACTTCCGTTGCACAAAAATTCTGTGGCCTATTAACTTTCAAACAAAACATAACAAAACATAATTAATATAAGCATTACCATTTAGTAGCTTAGAACAGCATTATCATTCATTGCTACTACAATCGAAGTTTAAATAATTTATCAACAACTCTTGTGATTTTTAATATGTTTGTGGCCCATCTGAAAATGATTTCGTAGCTCAGCAGCCTTATATCCCGTAGAATACGATAGATAATGCGGAAGGCACTCAGTTCAATACACTATATCCTACTGCGCTCTGTATAAAAATATTTGTTCATAATTCTCAGAGTGCGACAAAGCCGCTGATATTGTGATTGTTGTCGATTCTTCTGGTTCAATCACGAGAAGCGACTACGGGAAAATGAAGAACTTCATAGCAAACGTTATTGGGTGAGTTTGGTGTGATCATTTTTCCTACACGGCGCTTTCTTTCTTTTTAAATGAGGCGTTTCGGCCGTGTCTTGGCAACGAGAGACCGTGGTCTGCAAACAAAATAGAAGTTGCCTCCTCAACACGACATATATTGTACCAAACTTTTGCAATGACAATTCAAAGAACTCCTAAATAAATTGTGAAATTTCAGGTTTGCTTCGGTCTCGGGCCCGCAAATTCAGTTTATTAGTCGGGCTCGGATCGAGTCGGGTTTAATACCCAAAGACCTGGGTCGGGCAGGGTTGAAATTTTTGGGCTCGAACTTATCTGTACTTTGGACTAGCGGCTACTGTCAGATAAAAAGCTAGTATTTATTTAAAGAACCGAAAGATCTCGAGCCTAGTCAAGTAAACGCCGTAACTGCTCAAATAACGGCGCTCCAGAAGTGTGTGTACCAATATGGAGGTGACTGATTTTGTTCGCCTACTTTACATCAAGTTGTGTAAAGCGACTAAAACCTATGGGTATGAGGTATATTCACTTGGCTAACACAGATAGTCCCCGAACTCGTAGAACTAAAATAAGGAAAAATTGGAATAAAATTATGGCTTAACCCTAACCTGGTACACACCTACGGGAGAACCAAATAATGCCAAACAAAATGTTATGTAAAATTTCAATGTATTTAAAAAGCAAATCTCTATGACGCAGGAAATAATTTCCAATACACGCGTTTAGTTCTTATCAACGCTTACTATTTTCCCTTGCCGTTTAGGGTATTGTATTTGCGCAAGACTAAATTTTTTCTCAAAAAAATGAAAGTTCGGGTTGTATTGTATTGGGTCCTATTTTTATTTGGCGTTATTTGAGCACTTACAGCGTTCATTTTCTCACCACATTTGTTGTCAGCGTTATTTAAGCAGTTACGGCGTTTACTTCGAGAGGGCCCAGAAAGGCCCAACCCAAATTAGTTTCCTGCATTATGATCGAGAATATCAAATTTTGTTACCGCCCTGTTTAAAATTATTTGGTGCTTGGATTAAAAGTACAAAACCCAAACAGTGATAGCAAAAGAATAAATTCGGTAACGTCGAAGAATCAAAACAAATTCGGACAATTTACTTAACATTAATAACCAAATGACCAATCTATAAAACCTTGGTCCATAGCACCGGTTCTCAATCACTGGGCCATGGCCCACTTCTGGGCCACAGAAACATTACCAGGTAAACCAAAAATCTATATAAAATTGCTGAAACTATTGATAAATTAGGTAAACTTTGATTAAACGATGATGCTGTTTCTTGCTACTGAATGGTAATTCTCCTTTTAATTATAAAAATTGAAGTGTCTATCTTTGAAAAAAAATTTTTTTTTTCATGTTTTTCTTGTAGTTTTCCCCTCGCATGAGAAAAGTAGTGTGCCACAGATATGTTTTTGTGCCACAAAAGTGGGCCACAGAAGAATAAAGGTTGAGAACCACTGGGACTCTAGAGATATGTAATAAAATTAATTTAAAATTTCCAGATCTTTTGAAGACGACAAGGTTCAATTCTCGGCAGTCCGATTTGCAACAAATGTGGACACCAGAAACAAAATACTGTTTGGAGAGTATGGCATATCTGACATGGTGGAAAAGGTCGAGCTACTTCCGGGTCCAGGAGGAAGTAAGTTCATAATCAATACTTAAACAGGGGTGTGCAAGCTTCGGTCCACGGGGCGAATGCGGCCCTGCGTTACCTCTGATTTAATCTTGCTGACAAGGGTCGCGAATTTTATATTTCACATTCATTTTTGAGTAGACTATTTTAAAATTATGCTTTACAATACATTTCTAATAAAAAGTATATTTTTAGCCACATTTCCGCTTAATATCTTCATAAGAGATGCCCATCAAATAATTATAGGGACCAACTCGATTAAATACACCCTGTGCGAAAATCTGACATGGAATTTGAATTCGAAATTTTATACCTACGGTGCCAATCATCAAAGCCTAAATCTTGAACCACAAGGCTACGTGTACTTAAGCCTTGAATTTATGAAGGCGTGAAACGGTTGTTTAACACAAATAACCATTATTCAACCCCATAGAAACTGCTCTTGGAGCCGCTCTCTCCTACACAAGGACGGCAATGCTGAGACATCACAACAGAGAAAAAGTGCCCGACATGGTATGGGTAATAACGGATGGTGACGCGACAGATTCAGTCAAGAAGGCGGCAAGATTACTCAGAAGACAAAAAGTGGAGGTATTGAAAGATGTTTATAAATTTTTATGCCATGTTTTCACGCTTTCACTTAAAAAAAGTTTTATGCAAGAGAAATTTCAATGACGATGCCAACATGATCAGACTTTAAAACTGCTAGGCCACCGCGAATAATGTCGTTTTTAACGGTCTTGAATAATTTGAAACGAAATTTCATGAATATGGCAGATTAGATAACGATATTATTAAGCTGTCATGTCTAATACAGTTAGGTAAAAGAGAAAAACCACTATTTTTTCAATAAAAAATTGCCTAAAAGCAAGGTCCCCGAGCACTCAATCAATCAGACATACAAAAGCTTGATTTCTGAGATACTTATTGACGACCACTAAAGTTATAAGAGTTCCTCGAACTTTCGAGAACTGTGGCGTAAAGCTGCGCTTTGATCAATATCGATCAATTTATTAATAAGATACATCAAGCAGCTCTTGTCAAATGGTCAGAAAAACACCTATGATGTATAGGGATTTTCACACAACTGAAGTTCATCGAAAAAAAAAAAAATCTTTGGGCATAAACTTTTTTGTTCAGTGTAGGTACATCGACAGTAATTGCAAATAGATAAATTAATATTTCCCTCTTCATTTTCAAGATTATCGCACTTGGAATCAAACAGCCTGGAGAACCTTTATCCATTAAGCAACTAGAAGAAATAACTGGCAACCCTGATAACGTCATCGAAGTAAAAGGAATGGAATCGCTGAAAGAGGAATTGAGAGGCCGAATCGTTGGAAAAATCTGTAAATTCTCATGTCCTCATTGTGAGTAGATTATGATATCTCCATTTTGGGAAGCAGCGGTTCCCAACCGGGGGACTGTGGACTTCGTCGCAGTAAAATCAAAATAGCTCATGCCAGATTATTTAGAAAGAAAAGTTGCAACTGTATAACGTTTGATCACTGCTATAGGTCATAGCGAGTCATCACTTAAAAGCGTCTCTTCTATATAAGGTGAAAATTTGCAAAATTACACTATAACTTGACGCCATATGGAACTAATTCAAAAGACTATGAAACATCTAATAGTGGGCAATGCATAACATAGAGCAGGGGTGTGCAACCTGTGGCCCGCGGGCCAAATGCGTCTCTGGAGGGAAAATTGTGCGGCTCGCGGAGAAATGCTAGTTCTGAATGATGTGCAGCCTGCGAAATTAGTTTTTAATTTAATCTGATATTTGCGGGTAATTCCATTCCCTTTGCGTTGCGAAACCTATACCTAAGTCCAATTTATTATCCATGCCGACGAATTTACAATGCCAACAGATATATTGCGTTTTTGCCCAGTTATTTCTATCTGACTCTCCTGTATTATTAGACCCCTGGCATAAAGCAGTAGATTTGCTTTACCAACGTTACACAAAGATTTCAGAATTATTAGAATTTTTAATTAATTTTTCAATTTTTTTAATTAACAGATCCTCCAACTACGCCACCGCCACCACGTGAGTATAAGATTGTTTATTGAATATTGAAATTCAGGGTCTACCAATTCCCAGGTCGTTTGAAACATATTTGAGAGAAAACATTGCTTTTGTGAAAAGCGTCATAGTTTACTGAAACTTTTGGTTACAATTATACACAATCATTCAGAGTTTTATATTTTTTAATTTTATTTGGAAATAATTGAGAAGTTTATGTCAATTCTGAATTAGATAAATTGCGGTCCAAAATAATATAGTAATCAAGCTATCTCCGTGCCCAAACTTCTCAGCATGGAATAATAATGATCAAACGGAAATAAAAACACAGAATTGGGGAGGGGGCAGGGCTTCAACCAGCACTCAAAGATTATTCAATGAAATTCATGAAGCCCCTATCATGGGAAACGTGAAGAATTATAGAATAAACTAATGTTGGGAAAGACTTTCTTATCCCTGAGGTTGTATCGAATCAACCACTGAGTTAATGACTTGAGTTGATGATGAGTTGGAGTTATTTAATATATATGACTTGAGTGACTTCAAGATTTTGATGAATGGTGAATCGATTTGCATTCTAGTTGAGTCAATTATTCTTTGGGCCTTCCCAACAGGGACGTAGCCAGGAAGTCTGAAGTTTCCAATTGCCAAGTTAGTCCGCTAACAACGTGAATTTTCAAAACTGGTCCAAAAAGCGTTTAAAGTTACGAAAAATTGCTGTGTATGACAAGAAAAATTCTCTCTCACATTTCAAAGGGTGGGGGTTTTGACCCCCAAAACCCCCCTGGCTACGCCTCTATGGGATACGATATGGGACAGTCAAAATTTATCAAACTTATATTTATATGAATTATTTATTTTCACAGCCAAATGTGATCCTAACCCACCCCCACCGCCGACTGGAGGTTCTGTAAATTGCGATAGCGATACCGCAGATATTGGAACGAAATGCGACTTCGTTTGCAAACCAGACTCTCAGCTCGAAGGACCCGAGGACGCAGTCTGTGAAGAAGATGGAAAGGGAGGTGCAAGATGGAGCCAAGAAGCCAAGAAATGTGTCAGTAAGTCAAGCTGTTAATTTATTCCCAATTTCATATTGTAAGTGTAAGCGTAAAATTGTGAAACAGTCCTTCTAACAATAGAAACTTTAAATTGAAGCCAACATCGTAACAGCAATCAGCCAAAAATCATAGCTTTCAAAAAAAGTTGTGTTGCAAATATTGTCTTAGAACGCCATGCCCTTTTTGTGTATTGTACGGTTGTAGTCATCCTAATATATGGGGTCTAAAAAGTCAAAGGAATTTTATCGATATCATATATTGTTTTGGCTCTCACAGATGTATTTGATGAAAGAAAAATAGTCAAACAATTCCTGAATAAAAAAACACACCTGGTTAAGATATATTGAGAACGGACTTCATAACAAAATTCAAATTGTAACAGGACTTTATCGGCACCTTGTATTCATTGATCAACGTAACATGTTTAAAAGAGAACGCTATGCCTTTTCACGTATTGTACGATTGTATTTATATTTTTAATACGCAATCAGAGTTATTTTTGATTTTATATTTATACATTGAATCATTTTGTCGCATGCGCGTATCACGAGTAGGGCTGGGCATTTCGAATCAAATATTCGAAACTAATCTAATAGTAAATTATTTAAATCGGTTTAAAGCAACTTTTCGAATCGCCCGCCGCCTTCTTGTTTTACACCCTTCGCCAATGGTCGAGGTAAATTTCTCTATTTTTTTTTCATTTAAGCCATAGTTTTTCAACACATTTTTGACATATGACTCTTTGTTGTAATGAGGTATTGATGAAAACCTGTTTTTTTTTTATTGTCAGTGATGTATTCTATGTTTTCAGTAATTTATGTGTATGGAGGACCTAAAATAATAAGAAAGTTACATACAATTTCATACCTTCCAAGTATTCGAGATTCGAATCGATTCGAAACAATTATTCGATTTGATTCTAAAATCATCAGGTATTCTAAAATGTCCAGAACTAATCACAAATGAACGCGCGACTGAATCTAATACCAATAGACAAAGGAATTGAACAAAATACTTATATTAATTTTAAATGTATTTTTGTCTTTAAAACAAGTCGACTCACACTAATACAACCTATTCAATTATACCACCGTATTATTTCTTCCTATAGAAAAATGCAAAAAGCCTCCTCCGCCAACCTACGGTACCGTAAAATGCAGTAACTTGGACAACAAACTAATCGTCGGTTCATCTTGCACATTCAAATGTAACGAAGGATATCAAGTTGTTGGGAAAAGAGAAACCGAGTGCGAAAAGGACGGAACATGGTCAGAAAAGGCACCAAAATGCGAACGTAAGTGAAGTATTTACCCTATGTGAGACCTTATAGATATTTTATTTTTTTAATATGGGATCTTTTGTACAAAGTCCCCGCCAACGCTCCAATTAAGAAAATTAGTAATTATTCAGTTAGAGTTTGGGTTAAGAATGCAAATTGCGCTGAAAATTCATATATTTGAATCATTCTTAATCCCAACTCTAACTTCAACGCGAGGCGTTTCCACAAGTTTAGAATCATATCAGAAAGTATATATTATTATTAAATGTATAATTGTTCAAATATAATCAAATCTCTCTCCGAAACGAGATTGTCATTGCTGACCATCCGTCACACTCTTCACAAATTGACGCTCTAGATCCCGGTTCTGCGACATTTTGAACAACGATATTATATTCAAATACACGGGTGTAAATAGTCAAATAATAAGTGAATTTCACAAGTGTTACGTGAAAGACCCTCAAGCGTTCTACGTCATATTGTAATTACGCGTTTTTTCGATTGACATATTTTATATTAATCTAATATACATGAAAAATTTGTGCAGGGATTTTTTGATTCTCTGAGATGTCTCATCAAGGTTCTGTCCCACCAAAAAGGTTTAAAACAACAGTACTGGAATATCAAAACAAATTGAATAGGTTTCAGCTACATTCCTAACATTGCTGTATCTACTGCGGTATTCAATAAGGCCATAATTTTATTCCGATTTTCCCTATTTTAATTCTATTACAAACCCGGGGAATATATGTGTTAGCCAATTAAATATACGCCCTGCCCATGGGCTTCAGTCTCTTTACACAACTTTATGTTAAGTAGACAAACAAAATTAGCTACCTCTATATTGGTACACATACTTCTGGGCGCCATTTAATTTGCTGCGTCTATGTATATTTATGTTTTTGATACAGACCTAAAAGGTCTAAAGTAGTATACGAATTAACTAGTGAGTTGTAAATCCTAATCACACATTTTCTATTTCAGCTCTTTGCAAGCCACACCCACCACCAGGACCAATCAATGGCGAAGTTGAATGCAACAACGAAAAAGCAATAATCGGAACTCGTTGTGATTTCGCTTGTAAGGTTGGATACTCGCTCCAGGGATCAGAGAAAACAATCTGCAAGAAAATTTCCAATGGAAAAGCTGAATGGAGCCATAAGGCACCAATATGTACCAGTAAGTGAAAAAAGATTACATTTATCAATATCGATTGGGTCCTAAACTACCGACTACTTCTTTTCCTTCTATGCTTTTGTATCAGTGGATTCATATGCGTGTAATACAATGATGCTGTAGCAAGGGTGAAAATGCCTACCCTAAATGATTTAGAGCAGGGGTTTGCAACCTGCGGCCCGGGGGCCAAATGCGGGCCACAAATAAAATGGGTGGCCCGCGGAGAAGTGCGAATTTTGAATTGTGTGCGGCCCGCAAAGCGAGTCTTTAATTTAGTTTAATCTAGTACGTGTATATATTTTTAATTCTTTTGCGTTGCAAAGCCCCTGCCTAAGTGCAATTAATATTTATGTCTATGACGTTACAACTTTTTTGTGCCTACAGCTACTATAAAACCTATGTTCGATGAAGGTACGGCCCGCGGTTCCACCCAGGTATTTGAAATCTGGCCCTCTTGTATTGAAGGTTGCACCCCCTGATTTAAAGTCTTGCTGCATACTAACTTCCATGTATAAATTAGGGAGTCTTACCTTGGCCATACCAAGCTTGAATATTTGTGTTAGTTGTGCAGCAAGACTCTTAAATCACATAGAATAGTTATTATTGTATCTTTTGTACCGAGACCCCGCTAACTAAATAGCCCATCAACAATTAAAATTAGCAAATTAGTAATTATTCAGTTAGGATTAGGGTTAGAGATGCAGATTGCGCTGGAAGTTTATTTTTTTCAAATCATTCCTAACCGCTACTTTGACCCTGTTATTTAAAAACATTGCGGGGTGCTTTTCTCAAATCTCACATTTTGCATTAGTGGTGGAGGCTTTGTACAAAAAATCCTTATTATTATATACGGCACATGTCCTTAAACCTACGGTCGAAGCGAGTCACAGCCGAGCGAGTCACAGCAAATTTAAGTCTGACGTGAAGTTAAAATAATTTTAAAAATGCGAGTTACAAGTGGGGCTGGGCATTTAAACATATCTGATGATTTCAGAATAGAACCGAATATTTTTTTGGAATAGAATCGAACTCGAATACTTAGAAGATATATAATTGTATGTGGCTTTTTATTGCAATGGATCCTCCAGAAAATAAATTACGAAAATATAGAATCCGCCATACAACAAACAAGATGGCGGAGATTCGAAATTAATTTCGAAATTCAAATTTACAATTCGATTCAATTCAAAATGCCCAGTCATAGGTACAAATCGAATCGACACTATATTAGTCATAACCGGGGCTACTAAGTCGGATCTGTAGTTTGGTGTATTTTCACTACATCCGACGTTCGAGTTCGGAGTTCGTGTTTTTAAACTCCGGAGGTGAAGGTCGGAATCCAATTCGGTGTTCCTCCTGGATTGAGTCTGAATTTCAGACTTTCAATGACGATAAACTAAATGAAAAAAAAATTAAAAAATTTCTTAAACTGGAATCGGTAGCCGAGTTTCTGTTGAAACATTTATTTAAATGTCTCGAGACAGTTCTAACCTTTAATTAGGTCGAGTACAATTTAACTACAAGAAATGCAACCTTAAAATCTTATATAACAGAAAAATGCAAGAAGCCAGATCCTCCAACCTATGGTACCATCAAATGTGACGATAAATTAATCGTGGGATCGAAATGCGAGTTTAAATGTGAGGAAGGATACGAAATGGTTGGAAAACCAAAGACGATTTGCGAAAAGGCTGGAACGTGGAGTGAAAAAGAACCAAAATGCATACGTGAGATATTTTTTATACGTTTTCATAAATCCACCACATATAGACCGCTAACTCACCAAATCGGCATATCAAAGACACACGTCTAATAGAAAACAAAAAGCGAATAATGAATATGAGATGAGTTTCGTGTAAGCTTTATATCGAGACTTAAAACCCAAAATGAAGAAATTCGAAAAAGTTGTTTTGAGAAATTTTGTTTTTTATTTTCTGTAACAATTTTTTGAAATACTTTGGTTAATATTGCTCCAAATTACGACTCGATACCAGCTTACTCATTTTCATGTACTATTCTGGAATAAATTTATTTTGAAATTTCAACATTCGCCATTTTGTCTTAAATTTCACAATTTTAAATCTCGCAATATTTATACAACAGCAAAATGCACGCCACACCCCCCACCGAAACCAGAAGATGGATTTGTTGATTGCGATAACGTCGTTGCAACCGCCGGAACAATCTGTCAATACAAATGTAAGAGTGGACATAAGCTAATTGGCTCAGAGAATACAGTCTGTGAAGAAACAGCCAGAGGTGTCGTAGAATGGAGCCACAAGGCACCAACGTGCAAAAGTAAGTAAGATTATCGTTGTAACAAATGGTACTTCATGTGTGTACCAATATGGAGGTAACTAATTTCGATCGCCTGCTTTACATCAAGCTGGGTGAAGCGACCGGACAGGAGGTGTATTCACTCGGCTAGCACAGACAGTTCCCAAACTCGTAATAGAACTAAAATAAGGAAAATCGGAATATATTTATGGCTCAACCTTAACCGGTACAGATACTACGGGGGTACCTTGTTTTGGAATGTGAAAAAAAGTCTTTATCATACATAGAATTTTTTCGTAGCTCAAAACGACCACCAAGACCCTTGAAGACTCTCCAGCTGCTACGGTCTGACTTGGCAATTATAAATTTCGAAACCACCTCCTAATGAATCCAATGAATTGTCTTTTGTGTCATTGTTCAAAAATTCTATACTAACATATTGAACAATATTTACAAATAAATATTCATACATATTAATCACTTTTGTTTACTGAACAGAAACTTGCGAAAAACCAAAAACAATAGACCACGGTACAGTCAAATGCGACAAACCAGACAAATCATTAATTGAAGGAGCCGTTTGCGACTTCGAATGCGACGATGGTTTCAATATGAAAGGACAGAAAAATGCGATATGTAAGGCTGATGGAACATGGAGTGCTAAGCCCCCAACTTGTGAAGGTAAGTGAACATTTTTTACCGTATTTTATGCGCGTGTAAAAATTTGATAATACCAATGTTAGGAAGTCCCAGGTCATTGACCTGAATCAGTGGCTGCTTGAAGAGAGCCTTGTTTAGAACTAAAGATGTAAAAATTAGAAGAAAGCTCAGTTCATCTGTCCAGTTTCGAGTGTTTCAGGGGTGGTGTTTCAGGGGTGTTCAGATATTTGGTGTAGGGACACATGTCGAAATAAGCGAGAGGAAAAATTCGTGTATGGACACACGTCCAACTTAGCGAGGGGGAGGGTGTTTGAAATTTTAAAGGGATTTAGGGACACATGTCGAAATTAGCGAGAAGGTGGGTGTTTGAAATTTTATGAGGGGGGGGGGGGGGGGGGGTAGGAGACCACTAACTTAACACTAAACTGTTTATTTCCTATAGAACCAAAAGAATGCCTGAAATGGAATAAATTTAAGAACGGAAAGATGAGTTGCAAACCAAAGACAAAATTCGTTGAAGGAACCAGATGCGATTTTACATGCGACGATGGCTACGTTATGATTCCCGGATGGAAAAAATACGCAATGTGCAACGCTAGTGTTGTCAGTACTGAAGTCGGTTTGAAGACAGAGTTACATTGGACAAACAAATTACCGTGCTGCGGAAAAGGTACCGCTTATCATTAAAAGTTAGATGTGGTAATAAGTAACGTCTTTATTACCCAAATAATCCTATAATTCTGGGTTTGAACTGTGTAGTTCTGTATTTCGTACATGTTCTATAATAAATAATCATTTATCGTGAAATCAAAAAATTAGTAACTGTTTTTAATTACTGATATGGTACTTTACTGTCGATAAATCTTAAACTAACAGGTCGCCGAGAAAACATTTTATGCCATCATATTGTAGCCATCCTCGTTTAGGGCAATGTGCTATGGTCAATATTTCGGACATTCTAAAATTGCTACTTCGCCTTTGCTTTGCTTGGAATGACGATGTGAGAACGCCAAATTAAGAACGACGCGGTTACAAAATTCTTTATTCTTTAAAAGAACTCCATGTTTAAATTTTTAGCACTTTATAAACCTAACCTGTTTCTATTTTTTATCAGTCCTCAAATATCGCAAAAAAACTTCTGTCACAGAACTTTTTTCTCATATAAAACACAAAAGATTTTGCAAAATGGCATTTTGTGCTAAACTTTAGAAAATATGTCACTCAAATGTAATGAAAAAAAAACTTCAAACTATTCTATTGTAGTAAAATTGCACACACCAAGCCACAATATTTTACATCATTTATTGTCGTCATGGCAATAATGAAAAATAAAATTCATTTTCTCAGTGACGTGTAGCAAGGACGCTAAAAAGGATCTCATAATCGTCATCGATTCCTCGGGATCAATTAACCCAGTCGGAGGTCCGGACAATTATTCGAAAATGAAAATATTTCTTGGCAGTTTGATTGAGTGAGTTACGTTAATCTATATCATTCATAAGCAGTTTTGAGTGTATACGAGTGTCTTATTTTCTATTATTTCCGCTGTCACAGAAGGGGGCAATTTTTCTCCGCTCCCGTAGTATGTGAACCAATATGGTGGATACCGGAACATAGCAGGTTGTGTACCGGGTTAGAGTTAGGCCATAACTTTATCCCAATTTTCCTTACTTTAGTTCTATTACGAGTTCAGGAACTAGCCAAGTGATTCCCGTTGTATTTGTGCCTGAAATTATGGCCCAACCCATTACATATTTATTTTAGTCGACAATTCATTATTTTCATCGATAATTTTAACAAATTCATATCCATGAAAATGGGCCAATGACCGAATGAAACACCGGGCCCGCAGACCATAATTTCCCTTAGCCTGCGCTAGCATCACGTATATACTTACAACTTTTATTTAGATATGTAGTCGGCGCGGCGGTGTGGCTCATTGCGCTAATCGTTAGAAACACCCTCGCCACCGCACATCTGATTACTCTGCGTGGCTTCGCAGGAACTGGGGAACACCGCTGAATTGATTTTTTGTTTTGCAGTGGCTTCAAGGGAGACGGATTCCGTTTTGGTGTTGTAAGATTCAACTCCGTGGTTGAAAAAAAAGACACAATTTTCCTCGACCAATATGTTGGAAACAAAGCAGGGATTAAGAAAGCTATCATGAATTTCAAGGGACCCGGTGGAAGTGAGTATATCAAACTTTTGCTCTAGTGGGCTTAGTAGCTGTAAAATCGACTCGACTTGTCAATTATTCAAATCGGTTTAGACAAGGGCTGTGCAAACTGCGGCCTGCGGGCCAAATACGTCTCGCAAAGAAAAATTGTGCGGCCCGTGGAGAAAAATAAACAAATATCACTACGCGCATTATTTAAGTTTTCGGTTTTACGCCTTTTGTGTGTAGAAAACCGTACGTTAGCCGAAGCAATATTTTTAAGATAAGAGTTTCCGTAAGTTTGATTTTTCGTATCCAGAGCCTTTCGTAGGTAGAGTTACTAAGTGCGGCTTGCGGCTCCACCCAGTTACTTGTATCTGGCCCTCCCATAATAAAAGTTGCACACTCCCAATTCAAATCGCCGCCATCTTGAATCAAAGTGAACCCCTTAAATTTTTTTGTGAAGCCATTTTTTTAAAATACAATTCTGACATATGATTCATATTCTACCAGTTAGTCATTGCTGAAACATGGTAATTATTGTATGTGTATACTAAGTGACCTGTCTGTGTGGAGAGTCTATATTTCAGTGACTGGTGTGACTGGAAGACCCATCACAATAAAAAGTTACGTACAATTAGACATTTTCCAAGTATTCGAGATTCGATTCGATTCTTAAATCAATCAAAAAGGCTCAGCCCTAGTTGTAACGTTTTTTGTCTTTTGCCAGAGTTTTTCAACCTCTCTTCCCCCCTTCATAAATTTATACAGTAACACTTTCTATAATTTGCATATAGAGTTTTACTAACACTAATAACAAAACGACTCCCAATTCTATGTTTTTCCAATAATGATAAAAACCTATCTTTCAGAAACATACACCGCAGCGGCAATTGATTACGTTCGTAAGAAGGTATTAGCAACCGGAAGAAAGGATGTTACAGACGCAATCCTAGTAGTGACTGATGGAGCAGCCAGTGACGTTGATAAACTTCCGGCGGCGATAAAAGCCATTAGAGATAAAGGAGTTGATGTAATTAACATTCCTATATCTAGTTACTTTACGCTTGAAGTGTGAAAGTACCTGAAACCACTGAAAATTTATGTACCAAAAAATAATAGTAATATAAGATAGTATAACTTCGCACCAAAAAATAACAGAAATATAAGATAGGATAACTTTGCACCAAAAATAATATAAATATAAGATAGGATAACTGCCCAGAGAAAAGTACGTCTGAGTAGGAATTCTTTGCATTTTAATAAGTAATCTCTCTTTGCTCAGAGTTGGGTTTCTAATGTAAAATAAGTGAAAAAAAGTAGTTATTTCCATAAACACACTTATAGAACGCCAAATTTCATACCGAAAGAAATGCATTGCCTTCATTGATATAGTTTCAGTAGCTCTTAGTATTTCAATAAATACTTTTTCTCCGAGATGTTTTGTAATTGAAATTTTATTTTTTATTTTTCAGACTTTTGCTCTTGCTATCGGCACACAAGTTGGTGAAACAGTTGACATAATCTCTGGAACTGAAGACAATAAGATAATAATCAATGATATGGATGGTCTTACAAAAGAATTAAAGGATAAAATCCTTAGCAAGTTCTGCTCTAATTCATGTGAAGGAAAGTAGACGAAGATTGGGACTGACTCTGGGTTTCCCACGAAAATCCATCAAATATTATTATGCTTATAGACTTGGTATTATTGACAAAAAAACTAAGCAGATGAAAATGAGGTTAAAATGTAACTTTGGTGCTTGATTTTCTATATCCTTATTCGAAGAGAACGCATGAAATACTCCCTTAGGAAAATATAAACTGTATCCCTAAAGACTCATATAAAGTGATGCTTTTTGTTTTATTTCACTGGTAATATGGCCTCGTTTTTATATTATGACGTCATTTTATTGTTATGTGACCTCACCTTTATTATGACGTCATCTTAGGTGTTATGTGACCTCACCTTTAATATGATGTCATTTTTATTGTTATGTGACCTCACCTTTATTATGACGTCAATTTTACTGTGTCGTCCAATATTTATATCATTGTTCCCACAGTGAAGTCCAGACTACTCAGTCTTTACTATTTCGTGAAATTAAAAGGGAAAACGGTTTTTAAAATCTTGCGTTTTTGTCTATGATACCATGCTGATTATTTTATATTTACAGTGTTTATGCCCAATAGAATATTCAGATTCCATGATTTGGGTCTGGTGGATTTTCGTGGCAAATATATAGGATTTGATTTACTAATTAACACATTTGATCTGTTTACTTATAGGATCAATTGTCTTTGTTTTTCATGACAACACCTACGTTCTTTGCTCATACTTAGCCATATATGTGTCTCTTACATGCAATAATATTTAGTATGGACATTAGTTGCTTTAGTATAACTTTGTTGCGATGTTTAATGCTAACATTTTCAATTGTGTGGTTAGTATAATACAAACCCTATTTAAAACCCTATGATATTTTATAAGACAAATGAACGACATTTATTTCTATCATTATTTGTGTATTCGATACTAAAAAGTACATAGAAATATTGTTTATATGGAGAATACTGCAATAAAACGTATAAAAATTGTTATTTGTGTATTTGTTCTGGATCGAGATACATATGAAACGTTGAGCAATTTGTCACGTGATCATTTGAAGTGGGATTCATCGTATGTTCTGGGTTGGGATAGCTATAAAACTTTAGGCAAATAGTTAAAGTAGGCATATGAAGTGGGATTCATGGTATTTTCTGGGTTAGGATAACTTTAGGCAAATAGGTAAAGTAGGCATATGAAAGGGGATTTATGGTATTTTCTGGGTTAGGATAGATATAGAACTTTAGGAAAACGACGTTTTATAGGAATAGCAAAAATACGGATTTCTTAAAACGTTATGATGGAACATATCGCTTGATGCATTGTTTAGCGCCAATACAATATGTGTGCCAGCAGTCGTCGTCGCCCTTTGCGTCCTTACGCAAACTTGGCGTTAAAATAATTGATCAATTTTGTTCACAAACCATTGGAATCGATAGCACTAATTTGGCAATTAATGAGTTATGCGTATTTTAGGAAAGTCTTCCGTATATCCCCCGAAAGGTAATTCTGTATACGTTTCAAAATTTTACATATATTGATGACACATTTCTAACAAAGGTGTCAAATCTTACCAAAATACAAAAAAATTAGTAGATGGGACTAAAAATAGGCTTACACATATCATCAAAACATGTCGTAAAAAATGATGTCAATTATAATTAAAAGACTATATAAGCTTTTATAAGGCATATTACACGCCATCTGTTATCTAATGGTTTAGAAGTTACATTGATTTAAAATTAGGGATATTACAATTTTTTAACGCGTCGAATCGATGCGACCTCGTGGAAAGTCAGGGTGAGAGAGTATCGTCGTTCTGGGGAATCAGAGTTCAAAGAGTCTTGTGGTGGCGTTGAAAATATCTGTGATATCACGAAACATACATATTCTCGTAGAAGAGCGAACCAAATAATGCTGACTGACAGTATGTAAAGCATGTCCTTTGTGACTTATCACGTGGCAAACTTACGTTACTGTGACTCTGCGTAAAATTGTTTTGCCAACACGTACTGGAACCTATAAAACCGATATGACCTACTATACTTGATTTTCACGTTTCATTTTATGCTTATACAAGGAATAATTTTCGGTCTTGTGGCGTTGAAAATATCTGTGATATCACGAAACAGACATATTTTCGTAAAAGATCAAACCAAATAATGCAAACTGACAGTATATAAAGCATATTCTTCGTGACTTATCATCCCGTGGTAAAGTTACGTTACTGTGACCCTGCGTAAAATTATTTTGCTAGCAATCCTACTTGAACCTATAAAACCGATATAAACTATACTTGATTTTCACATTTCATTTTATGCTTATACGTTAAATAATTTTAAGTCTTGTGGTGGCGTTGAAAATAGCTGTGGTAGCACTTAACATACATATCTTTGTGAAATAACATAGTATATACTTAGTATTATCCAGATTTGCAGTACATAAAGCATATTCATTGTGCCTAAAACAGTGTGGTGAACTTAAATAACTGTGAGCCAGCGTAAAATTGTCTTGCCAGCAAGCCTACTTAAACCTATAAAACCGATATGAAATATACCGGTACTTGATATTCCCATTTCATTTTATGCTTATATGAGGAATAGTTTTAAGTCTTGTGGTGGCGTTGAAAAAAACTGTGATAGCACGAAACATACATATTTTTGGGGCACTCTATTTTCAAATGTCTCTGAGATATTGGGTACACATACGCTCTGATGAACAAATATCAGGCCAGCTCCTTCATTCTGATCATTTTTTAATAAAAGGTAATTATGACTAACGTAAAAAGAAATACGATCATAGTTATCTCGGCTATGTCTCATGTTTGTAAAGAAAAATTTTGAGCAACTTCTGCAATGCATTGTTCGCCCTAAGACCCTCTCCAACGGTCCTATGGAGCCCCATCAAATAAAGCAACATATTTCAAATATCCATTTTCTTATCAGTTTGCTAAAAAAATCGCAAAATAAAAGCAAGATGAGATTCGACAGCAATTTCAAATAAGTTTAAAGGTGACTGCGTCTTATGCAGTTGTCCTGCGAAAAGCAAGGACTAAAAAGTCCCACACATTGGTGAGACATTGATGAAATTATGTCTGGCGGAGTGTGCTGATATTCTGCGGCGTCAAAGACCAACAGGTCTCCTTGTCCAATCAATGACATTTAATGTCATTGGTCCAATAACAATGCGCTTTTTCAGAAATAGGTTCAAACATCCAGTTCATCATATCAACAAAAAAAAAATTAAATTGATGGTACAATGTAAACTCTGATGTGTTCTTTGTAATCTTATGCGTTGAATGGCTCCATTCGATGAAGAAATATTCTTGATAAGGAAGTCAATATGTAGTGGGAAATAATAACTCAGCCTAAATCGTAAGTGGGAAATTAAGAAAGAAAAGGTTGGGAACCCCTGCCTTATAGCGTGATAAACTTACGTTATACTGTGACCCAACGCAAAAGTGTTTCGCCGGCAATCCTACTTACCTATAGAACCGATATGAACTATACTTAATTTTCACATTGCATTTTATACGGGGAATAATTTTAAGTATTGTGGTGGCGTTGAAAATATTTGTGATAGCACGTACCAGACATATCTTTGTACAGGAACATAGCCTATACTTAGTATTATCCAGATTGGCAGTACATAAAGCATATTCATTGTGTCGTAAACATTGCGGTAAGCTTAAAAGCTTGTGACCTACCTAGTAAGAACTTCATTTGCATAAGTGCTTTGTTCCTAGTGTTTATATATTAGCGTCAATGTAGAATATATTTAGGCTGATTTATTATAAATTTCTTAGGATTGAAAAATGGGTGTTATAAGCATTCTTAGTCCCCCCACACCCCCAATCCAAAAAAAATAACGGAGTCTGTTATATGGAGCATTTTGACATTTTCACTTCAAATAAGGCAATAGACAAGCAGTCATCGACACATAAAAAGCTGCCAAAAGAAGCCGTGTACTAGAATGAGAATTTCTCTATCGATAATGACCTCGACTCACAGAATGTTAGATTTTCCTATGGTCTAACGGCTACAATTTTGTGTAATCCCGTAGTGTTTGTACCACGTTAGTGTTAGGCCCTAATGTGATTTCGATTTTCCTTATTTTAGTTCTATTAGGAGTTCTAAGACTGTCTGTGTTGGACAAGTGAATATACCCCCTCCCATAGGTTTCAGTCCCTTTACACAGCCTGATGTAATGTAGGCGAACAAAATTAGTTACCTCCATATTGGTGCACACACTTCTGAATCGCCCAATTTTGTATTATGATGATTTATATTATCAATTTTACTATGTGAATAGTTCACATTATTAGATTCACGCAGATCATATTAGCTGTTTTGCGCTATTTGTAATAGGTAACACATATTGATATCGTGTATCCAGTTTATTACACCATTCGTGAGGTTATGGCAAGGAAAGGTAGTTAGTTTCACGTAACCATAACAAACACACAACTTAGTTACACAAAGTGGCATTGTGTTGGTCCATCATAAATATATGTTAATAAAAATATTTCCATAATGGTTATTAGAAAGAAAGGATAGATAGAAATATCCCTGCGGTATATAATTTTGTATTGCCACACAGATCCATTTGCTATTCGAGACAACGGTTCATTTTTTTTAGTCGTAGAACTTTCTTCGCGTGAAGAAAGTTCGCCTCTCTCCTATGCCTTATTTCTTATATTCTCTCCTATTTTTAGTGGGACTCTTCTCACTTATTCTTACTCTCTTATTTTCTTTTACATCTATACAACAGAGCAATGGCCAACTTACTTCCATTTTTTTTTTTAGTGAGATCAAATAGGTTTGATGACGGCTTTATGACAAGTTCCATTCGAATCAACAATGTGAATTTAGTTAACACGACATTTTCAAGAATTCTAATGTACAAAACCTGTATCATATATTCAGCACACTGGAGCGCAGTATGTGTACCAGGTTAGGGTTAGGCCATAATTTTGTTCCATTTTTTCTTTATTCAGTTCTTTTACGAGTTCGAGGCCTATTCAAGTGACTCCCGTATGATTTGTATCTGAAATTAAGGCCTAATCCTAACCTTGTACACAGACTACGTTCCGGTGTCCGCCATCTTGCTTTATATACTTCGGAAGTGGTTCCATTACATTTGAACCCAGTGCGGTATCTAAGGTATGGCAGCCATGGTACGTGCCATGGGCGCCGTTTGGGCGGGGGCGCAAGAACGCCAAAAGTTCTAATCATATAATGTTTGAATAAAACTTGAAAATAATTAAAACTCATATTTTTAATTAAATAATAACAAATTCAACAAAAGTTGATAAAAATTGTCAGCCAACAATCAATGCCGTTTGTTCCGTCACTTAGCGTAATTGACGGTGACGTCATAATTTAACATGAAAGAACTTAAATTGATACGGTACTGGGAATCACTTCAAGCAGATAGTGATTCAAATGTTGGTTATTTTCTTGGCCTAATGAAATTCCCTGTCGTCTTTGATCGTGTGCTGCGAGAGCATCTCGGTTTCATTGAAAGTCATCCACATTCAACCTCTTACCTTTCTCCAGGCGTTCAAAATGAATTTGATCGCCTTTTATGGCATCTCATGTTCTCAAAAGCCTAACAAAAAAAATTAAAGTCAAGCCCTATGATCTTATATTTGACTCAACTCCTGGCCAGGCGCATCGATAGCAGGTCTCAGAAGTTGTGAGATATGTTGATATAGACTTTGACGAGAAAACAGTGTGTGTCACAAAGAGTCAAGTAACAAAACAGCTTGTTTTGACGATTATATTCTTTATGTAACAGAATTTATTGTGATACACGTGTAGACTAAACTATATTTTAATCTAACAAGTATAAATTTCATAATTACTCGTTCGTTTAATAGGCCTATAATTTATTAATAATTAGAAAAATGTCAACTAAACGCAGAAAAGTTGATGCTAAGCGCAAAGGGATCAATGGCGCCGGAAATATTCAAATTGAATTTTTTGAGATGCAA